GCTTCAGGCATTTTTGTTAAGCACTATTAATAGAGGGGGAGGAAGTTAGGGGAGGAGAGCTGCTGTTTGAGCAGAAAATGAGCAACAAAACACTTGTAAAACGCTCATGTCACACATTTTCAGGCATTTCTGTTGAAGTCTGTGGGGCCAATAACGCTTGTAATCTGCCTAAAAGAAGCTCATGTACTTTTTTGAGTGACAGGCATTTTGCTTCAGGCGACAGAATGCTCATATGTGAACAGGGGCCATTGACATGCATGGAATTTGACTTTTTGAGTGTTTTAGAGCTACAAGCAGAAAATCGCTCAGGTGTGAATGCAGCCTTAATATCAGATTGATTGCAGCAGTGTTGCTTTCACAAGGAACAGGAAAGGAAAATGAAGCTCCCGCAGTCTGGCACTGGCTGTTTTCATAAAACATAAAAGTGTGGCGCTACACATAACCAAAAAATGAGTCAGTGCGACCTCCAGACTCAGTGCGCACATACATCTCCTCGTACTAAGCTGCCAGACTAGGAAGGAGCTCACCTGAACAGACCAAGGAAGGCAGCAGCCGCCTCTGGAGCCCAGAGAGAGATCTACAAGTCCCATGCTGCCTTGCACGGCAGGATTTAAAGGCTCAGTACAAGCCGGAGATAATGCAGCAGGTTTGTCCTCTATGAGGATAAATCTTTTCTGCAGGTTTATTTTCTCTGTTCAATTTTTTGCAGTTAAAGTTTGGAGCTCTACCAATGTCCGGATCACAGCTAATTTTTAGAATGATCCAACGGGTGTTTAATCCATCTACCACTGGGGACCAGTTTGATCCTTTGACGTTATTAAGTGTCCAGGTCCATGGCATGTGTTTGGAGTCTGTATTGCGCATTTTGACCCAACCTTAACTGAGGGTCAATTTCATCTGGAAAGAGGCAGAATTTTTTGGGTGTTGGTGATGGTGGATTTTCTTCATCTTCTTGACCAGATTTGAAGCATTCATGACAACATTGATGTTCCATTAAAGGGGCTTATTCTATGTTATATCTCATCCGCATGTGTATTGGACTTTCCATTTACTCATGTATTTGCACTCATTTTTTGGTTATATGTAGCGCCGCACTTTTATGTTTTATTATTTGATATATTGTTGCCTGCAATATTAAGTTGGCTGCTTATGTTCTATTGATTTTTTAGTTAGGGAGTCACATATATACTATAGTGCAGAATTTATACTTTTTTGTTTATTACACTGGCTGTTTTCAGCACAGGGCTCCCATAATGGAGGATATATGAAAACTCTTCAGCTTTCCTAAAGACCCTTAAATTTCTGAACACTTAGTGAACTCCGGGCATGCAGCTAAATATACAGTTAACATATGTTGACTGTTCCACCTGCTTAAGCATAAGTCATTTTTTACAACCAATCTTGTAATTTAGTGTTAAGAGGTGTGAAAAGCAAAAGACTGGTTGAACATATATGGTATGTATTAAAACATCTATTTAGCTGTTGGCCTAAAGTGCATCAGCAACCTAACCCTAAAAAAGAGCACATTACCCCCCCAACACTTTACTCTTAGTCGGTTTCTAAATACTTAGTCCCCTCCACCAAACCCTAACACTTTTAATTTAAACCCTAAAGGGAACCCTTAAAGGCTGATCTCCATGATCTCCTTTAACACTTGGAGTGGTTCTAAAGGCATTCAGCGAATTAAGGTAAAAAACCTTCTACAAGCGGCAACCCCCCCAGTCCCTCCTAAATACTTACCTGAGCCCAATCTCAATCCAGCAATTTACATGAGAGCAGAGGCTCTCTTACTTCTCCTTGGCTCAGAGACAGTTGCGGGAGCCATTGGCTCCTGCTGCTGTCAATCACAGCCAGTGAGGAGTGAGCAGGGGCAACACACAGATCTGGCTCCGGAGCGAGCACGCATGAGTGTCCCCATAGCAAGCGGCTTGCTATGGGGGCACTCAGAAGGAGGAAGGGTCCAGGAACACCAACGGGGGACCCCAGAAGAGGAGGATCGCGGCTGCTCTGTGTAAAACCGTTGCATAGAGCAGGTAAGTATAGCATGTTTGTTATTTTTAAATATCTAAAATGTGAGCCTTTAGAAATGCGTAGTCCGTGCAAAAGTAATATTTTACTTTTAGGTGGAGCCAGGTAAACCAAGTCATCCCCTGGTTTCTTATATTGAGCACTTTAACAGAAAGATCTCACATCCATTGTTCCAAACGATATTCTTTCTTACCTTTATAAGTTTCAGCACCTGTCTTCTAAAAGAAATGTTTTTTTTAAACCAGCCCTTCCACTGCTGTTATTACTACACCCCTGAATACCATACAACAGTATTTTATGATTGTGTCTTCATTCACTGTCTGAACAGATCTCAGTAAACATTGGAATTTATTATTATAATACAGGATTTATATAGCGCCAACAGTTTGCACAGTGCTTTACAATCTGAGGGCAAACAGTACAGGTACAATACAATTGAATACAGGAGGAATCAGAGGGCCCCGCTCGTTAGAGCTTACAATCTACAAGGGGAGGGTCAATTGATATAAAAGGTAATAACTGTGGGGGATGAGCTGATGGAGAAAATACATGTACAGTTGTTAGATGCAGGCAGGATAGTTATCAAGGATCACCTAAAAGTGGACAGAGCAGGAGATAGTTGGACAGATTGGGGTAGGGAATTCTATAGGCTGGGAGAGGCTCCTGTGAAGTCCTGCAGGCAAGCATGGGAGGAGGTAACAAGGGAACTAGAGTGCAGGAGGTCTTGGGAGGAACAAAGAGTGTGATTTGGTTGGTATTTTGAGACTAGGTTATATTTCTTCCTTTTGAATAATAGTCCCAGTAGCTAATGTCATTTATTTGTACATGCGCCAGCTCCAGTAAAGCCAAATGTTCCTTTCTGCGTTTCCAATGTGTGTGCAGCTGCTTTACAGGGAAATAGCAATTAGATCATTGATGGAGTATAAGTAAGTTTCCAAGCTTCACTGCAAAAGATATTTGTCACTTTGTGCATGTCTATGGACATTAAAATACAACTAAATGTTCCTGTATGACAGTCTAAACAAGTACCAAATCCAGTTATGCACAAGCCTCAGAAAATAAATCAAAAAGCTTTGACTGTGGCTAGGTGCTAACAGGCACAGGTACAGGCTTGTGAATCATCAGTGTCAATGCTGATAGCTACACCACCTGCAACATTTCTTCATCCCACTGTAGTGCAAATAGGCATAACCTGTATAAGACTGGAAACTCTGCTCTGAATTCAGGAGCAGTAATGCATAGTTGCCACCCTATCACAGGAAGGTTCATTAGGTAGGTTCACTGGCAAGCTCATCAAGTATATGTGGGGCTTGGAAGAAGGGCTAACTTAAAGTGTTACTAAACCCAGGACTCTGAATTCACTATATCTGGTCTCCCACAGTACACAGAATATAGAAATGCAATTATTTAGTAAATATAAACTGCTCTCACCGGCAGGTAGAGCAGTCTTGTGACTTCTATCAGTGTCCAGGCGAGCACATGTTAAAACTTGTAGGGGGAGTTTTAATTTTGCTCTGGGAGGATGCAGGACCCCTGACCTCTGTCTGAACAGTGCTGATCACATGCACTCTCCCAAGCAAAAAAAACAATAACAAGTTCCTTTTGTCTACATCTTTTGCATTTATCACTTTTGCATCTATGCACTTTGACTGTGTACAGTGGTAACATTTTTGCAAATTTTGGAAAATTGTTCTACCTTGCTACACCACATTATTCTAACTTATCCGATTAACCACTTGTCCTCCTGAGGATTTACTACCCCCTCCTGACCAGGCCATTTTTTGTGTCTGACAATTTTGAGAAAAAAACAATATTTTTGACTTTTTGCCATTAAATATGTCCAGTAAATAAATAAAAAAAACTTTATGCCAAAATGTATTCTGCTACACGTCTTTGCAAAAAAAAAAAATCCCAATATGTGTAAATTAATTGGTTTACATGAAAGTTTTAGCAAAATAAGTAGATAGTGAGCGCACAAGCAAAAGCAGCAGCTCGCACAAAAATGATAACCCGCTATATCCTAAAAAGTGATAAAGAAAAGAAGAAAGTGCAGTGCTCATAAAGAAATATGATGATAATAACTGAATGCCATAGCATCATAAAACAAATGAATAAATACATGAATTGAATAGCTGGTGACTGTAAGTGAATATGCACAACAAGTATTATAGGTGAAGCTCTCTGAAACGGCACTATAGTGAGCAAATAAATAAAATATAAATGGTGCCACGCTAAAATGACAGCACAAAAGTGACAAATAGACTCTATCAGGACAGTAGGTGAACAATCCAGTAAATATAATCAGTGAAAATTGAATGGTAAATTATTCCAAATATAAAGTCCAAAAGAAGTGATGCGTGAATCTGTGACAAATCCTGCTTTATAATGCATTCACCAGAAGTGCATATTAAATATGCGTTTGAAATCAAAGGACTTTAGCTCCTCCACAGGTCAGCCTCATCCATCTCCATACACAGTATAAGGGAAAAACAGAGCAGGCATATACCAGAGTAGGAGATACTCCCAGCAAATCGTTCCACCATCAGCAAACAGAAAGGGGCTCCACCTTGAAGGGATTAGCTCACCAAATGAGCCCAGAAAGGAAAGCGCTTATGGTGCAGTATTTTATTGAAATATTCAAAAGCGTCCATGTGGAGCAATAAAATGACATGTGTATTCCACTTACAAAGATGGCCGCCGGACTTGCGTGAGGAGCCTGCATACTGACGTCACGCTACCGCGTCCTCATGCAGGTCCAGTGGCCATCTTTGTAAGTGGAATACACATGTCATTTTATTGCTCCACGTGGATGCTTTTGAATATTTCAATGAAATACTTTGAGCAGGGACACCTAAGCTTTATACCCAGGGTCACTTCTGTAATATTTGTTTTAAAATTTTTACTGTTCAAATAGGTAATAAAGAATATTTTTTACATGTTTTATCTATTTTTGCCTTTAAAATATATAGAAAATTAAACACAGTAACAGGGGCGGACTGACAACTCATGGGGCCCCCGGGCAATAGGGGATCATGGGGCCCCTGTGTCCTTGCCCATACTCAAAAAAGCCTATGAAAAAGGTACCAGGGGCATCTCATGGGCCCCCTACTGACCCCGGGCCCTCAGGCAGTGCCTGAGTTTCCAAATGGTCAGTCCGCCCCTGCACAGTAAACACAGTATCACCAAATAAAATCTGCATTTGTTTCCAAAAAAGAATGTAACTCCCTCTCCTATCATAGGTAATGACAAAGTTATTGCCGAATTAATAGGACCAAAGCTGAAATGTGAAAATGGCTTTGGAGCCTAACTGCATAAAACAGATCTGTCAGGTTGGATTTTTTTTTCCATAGTGTGAGCACAAAAAAATTGCCTGTTACATTCATGACCTATATTCATATTTTCTAAGTGCCTTGCGTATGCTATGAAAGGATCTGATGTATGCAAAATGTTTCATTTATCATATTATGTTACTGTTTCCAAACAACCCCACCATAATGGTGAAGGAGAGAAGCAAGAATAAAAAGGTGACGTTTAGAAATAAATAACATTCCCAGAAACAGCTATCAGCTATGCACTTGTAAACCTTTATGTATTGTTTGTTTCAGACTCTCATCAAATGTATCTTTGATTTTGATTGAATGCGCCTTTCTGCATTCTTGTTCATCTGCTCTGCTGATAGAATGACTTTATCTAAAAACAGAGGACTTTCGAATGACATGTATTGCTAAGAGGATTTTCCTGACATTATATCTAATGAGGAAATATTTCCCATGTACAGTATGTGAATTGGTCTGTAGTGGCCATTGTAGCCATTTGCGAGGTTTAGCTACTAGCAGATGTCCATGAAAGCACTTGACTTGTAGACTGCAGACAGTGCAAAATAAAACTATTAACAGGGAAAAGCAATGCATTCTATGTTACCTTAAACTATGCTGCCTAAGAACTATAAGCACATTTTTTTTTCATTTTGGATAGAGTAAGGGAGGGTTATAAAACCTGTCAGTATATATTTTGCCATCTGTGTCTGATTTAGGAGATTTGCCTTCACTTCCTGTCCCTTAGCCAAAAAAGAAAGTGAGAAAATATCTGCAAATTAATGGAATTCCTTGGGGACCCCCGGTTCACAAGAACTAGTGTCCCCATTGGAAAATTTCTACTCTATTACTTTTCTTGGGACAACCCAAAATTTGGGGTTTCTTTTACTCTCACTTTTGATGATAATGGTAAACAGGACAAATAGAGAGGGTGAATCTCCTGAATGGGGGCACAGACAGCATTAAAAACCTAATCAATGTTTCGTCCCTTCCCATTCTATCCAAAACTTTCAAAAAAGTTTTGCCTTTAGTTATACTTTAATGTTGTAAAATATTACATTAACAATTTACCAGTCTAACTAAAAAAAATTGACAGAACCAGGTGAGAAAAGGTAATAGGGACAGCATTGGCACTGTTCAGGACTCCCTTATCTCTTTAGCTAGGTGAGTTCCATGAAATCTCTTAATTCTATCTAAAATCACTTAGGCTTGGTTCACACCTACAGGTGCAACCAAGCACTGGTGTGTTTCTGCTTGTTTTTCACACGTTCCATCATGTTGCCTACAGGGCAGCCCATTCATTTCAATGAGCATAAGACTCACAGAAAAAGTCCCTGACTCTTTTCCAAAAACTAATAGCACCTCCGCACATCTGCTAAAGAGCAGCATGTATCTGTGCATGTTGGGAGAGTGTGCAATTTTGGGTGTTTTCCTGACTTGCATAGATATGAACCTAGCCTTAGTTGCCCCCACATAGGCAATGACCTTTGAGTAAATTACCCTTATTTCAGGAACTTCTAGTCAGTGGATAAGATCCCTAAATGAAGAACTTGCAATCAGATTCTGAAGTCCACAAGAATATAACATATGACATTTATTCTCTTCTTCATCAAACATAGTTATGCCTTATACCCAACTTTAACTCAAACTTTCAGGCAATCTTCTGTTGTAGAGCCAAGGTGGTCAGTCTGTTTATTCTGGTCCACAAATATCTGTTTGGTTTCTTTGGGACTCCAGTTATGTTTTTTTGGGGGTTTTCAAAAAAAGTTGTGGCACTCAGTAGCAATAAATTAAAGCCAAGTTGTGGGATAAGCAAATATTGTTTAAATACAAAAGAATATTATTCATACTTTAATCTTGAAGTTGTTTTTTTTTTAATTTCTTCAAGAGCTGTGCAGTAATCCAGTGTAAAACTGTGCGTTTTGTATTTAGGGCTGGTTCACCCCACAATTTCTGCACTTTGGATGTGTTTCTGCATGCGCGTTTTTGATGTGTTTGTTCCCCTCTTTTGTTCTTGATCCCAGTTGAGGAGATGTGCATTTTTGATGGGTTTCTCCATGTTCCAGATGCATTCCATACAGAAAAAATGCAACATGTTTTACTTTTGTTGACTGGACTGGAAAACACTGCGCTAGTGTGAACTAGGGCCATTGGAATTCATGTTAAACACTGTCCATGCGTTTTTGATGCAGCATAAAAACACACTGCACTGCATATGTTGTGAACCAGACTTCAGACCAGTAATTGCTGCTCTCGTGCCTTGTGCAGAGTGACTCTAGATTTCTGCAGACAGCCTGCAGTAGATGAGCCGACTGGGACCCTCCCACAGCTCTGTTTAGTGCTTGGGCTATAAGCAGCTATAAGCAGCACAATGATGATGTCACTGATAATTTTACAAGGTAATAACTGGGTCTGCAAAGGTATTTGGTGCACACGGTGGATTTATGTCCATTGTTACTGATGAGGAATATAGGTAAATAAAAGATTTTGGTCCTGGATTCAGCTGTAAATTCCTTATATGAAATTACAAGCACCCTAAATAGTGTTCTGAGTTTTCAGTTCTGAGCCAGCAAGTAGTATATATTTGGTATAGAGGAGACTGTATGTGAGGAAAAGTTGGTTCTATAGAAAAAAACATTTGGTGATTTTTTTTTTTACTGTTAGACGATGATTCATTCATTTAAACACACATAAGATGAAAGCAGTGCAAGTATACCAATGAGCAGTGATAGCAATACGTTGTATGTGTTAGAAGCTTCTCATTGTCAAGGTAACCCTTTGTTTATTCCCTTAGAAATCCATTAGCCGATTTTGTGAAACTAGGATAAAATGAAAACATATACAAAGGTCTTTAATGATAAACCTAAACTTGCCTACAAGTCTGCCAGGAACTGCAGAAAAGCTCAAATTATAGTATGTGTCCTATCCTGTTGTGATCAGCCTTGAATACAGGGAGGACTAGATCATCTTCTGGCCTGTTCTCTAACCTTATCTATTATGCCTTTAAAAGAAGTAGCAGTTCTTTGTATTGTAATAAATAAATGCACATCTTTTTGGAGGTAAAAAAAAAAGTGATATTATAATTTTTTTTATTAGGAGCCTGTAAAGCGTTGAACCCACGATTAGCAGATAGCGAGTGCAATGCAGGATTCCTGCAAACTGTCATCGTAAGCTGTCTGCTTGTATCTCTTAGTTGCAGTTACATGATGACAGGAAGAATTAACCTCCCTGGCGGTATGATTATTTCAGATTTTTGGTGCTGAAAGCGGTACCATTATTTTGCATGGAAATATGTAGTTTTTTTATTGTAGGCTGTAATTTTTAGGAATAACTCACTGAAATCTGTCCGAACAAGAGTCTATTAAACATCTCGGGTATGATAAAATTTGAAACACGAAATCATAAATTACAATTTAATAAATAATCATAAAAAATAATAATATAATAATAATACATTTAATTCAATAATATAATCAAACCGAAAACACTGAAATTTGAAATATAGCGCCAAGTTCGTACATTGCTGAGCAAAGTCGCAAAATTGTTTTCAGTGTCTGATGACGAATTTCCCCACAAATCATTATCACTCAATTCTGCAAGTGGTTCTGATTTACTATTGCTGTTCTCTAGCTGATGTAAACCCGCTTTTGACCTAAAGGGACACTTTTTGGACGCCATGGACTTTTCTCAGTTTCCAGGCAGAAAGAACAGACAAAATGCAGGCAGGGCACAGGACAAAGCACTAGGGACAAAATGTATGTGAAATGGGTTGAAACAGCAATGTTTTACTATGAAAAATTTGTTTTGAAAAAAAATGAAATTTTTAAAAATTTTCAAATTTCCCGCCCCTGGCGGCGCCCGTACGTCCCGACGTCACAGGGACCGGAACACAGAAGCTGGATGCCGGCATCGGCCAGAGGAGGTGGCTGGGGACGCTGCAGGGGACACATCGCGGGAGCGAAGGACAAGGTAAGCTCTGCAGGGACTCCCTATGCAGCGCCGCATGGTAAGTCCGAGTGTAGCTCGGGGGTTACCGCTTTTGGTACTGACATTTTACCCCGAGCTACACTCGGGAATACCGCTAAGGAGGTTAATGAACTACCTAGATCGCTCGTCAGAACCCTGCTGGTTCATTAGGAGCTACAAAACATCAGCCGCAGAACTCTGTGAATGAATGACGTGGCGAAGTCCCACACAGCCGCTTTTTTTAATCAATCAACAGATCATGGGTGCAATGCAGGGCTCCTGCAGATTGTCAGTATAAGCTGTCTGCTCGTACCTCGTATGGGTAGGCAATTACACAATGACAGGAACCATCAATGAACTACTTAGAGAACTCACCGACGCTCTGGTAGTTCATTGAAAACTACAAGCCATCAGTCACAATGGCTAGACCACAGCCCTCAACTGAAAGATCCAATCTTCTGTCACTAAAAGATTTCCTCTAAATCATTTAAGCAAAAATAACACCACAGCCTGGATAGCAGGTACACCCTATCCCAAGCCAACCACCTGGTCATATGGGGTTGTTTGTCATAGTAGTATGTACATGGGCAACCATATTTCCGCAATACATAGGCAGGCTTTTTTCTTGCATTGTGTTGTTACACAATGATTGTTTTTTACTGCTTCTTATCACAATAGAAGTCTATGGGGTTGATTTACTAAAGGCAAATACACTGTCCACTTTGCAAGGTGCACCTTGCAAGGGAATTTTCCCCGGAACTTAGTGAATAACGTGAAGTACTGCTGACATCCATCATCCAGTCATGTGTAAGAAAAAATGGTACTTTTTTAACTTTCCTGGAACATGATTGGTTACTCTTTGCAAAAGGAAATTACATTGCAGTTACTAAGCTCTGGAGAAAACCAAAAGGTGAGTATAACAGCTTTTCTATTGCAGGGAACTTCATTTCTGTTGTTTTTGTTACAGAAATTACAGTTTATTTAATACTTGTTCGGGGTCAGGGATTCAGAGTACTGAAGAAAATTGTGAAAAAGATCCCCAAACAACTAGCATTTTTAGATAGAAGCAATGAAATCCTCTATATTCCTGACATGCCTGAAGTTCCTTTTACATTCTCCTCTAAAGTGGACATTGTATGATATAAAAAGCATTATACATAATAAGCAATTTAATTGATTCTAAAGGCTTATTGTTTTTTTTTTTTTTTTAAATAACAAACATGTCTATACTTACGTACTGTGTGCAGGGGTTTTGCACAGAGCAGCCCGGATCCTCCTCTACTTGGCGCTCCTTACCCCTCCCTCCTGTCAGATGCCCCCACAGCAAGCAGCTTGCTATGGGGGCACCAAGCATGTGCACTCTCTAGCCGCTGCTCCATGTGTCCATTCACTCACGGAGCAATGGATGGCCCCACCCCCTCTCCTCATTGGCTCACTGGCTGTGATTGACAGCAATGGGAGCCACTGTCTCAGTCAATGAGGAGAGGGATTCCCGGGATAGCCAAGACTCCAGTGCACATTGCTGGATCGAGAGGGGGCTTAGGTGAGTATTGGGTGGGCTGCTGCACAGATAGAATGCAGATAGAGAGCAGACTGCATAGAGAGAGTTTACTTCCTCATACATCTGTATATCAGAATATGAAATATTGAGTGACTTAACATTATTACATCATGGCTGGAAGTAAGGTGATTGCAAACATCACATAATGCATTAGTATTTTAGAGCTGGCCATACACTAATAGGATTGTTTTAGAAAATATTCAACTTAAGAATGTTTCTAATGGTCAATGGGGTCAAATTTATGTTCGTTTTTGACTGCAGCGATGAAATAATTCCAAGGAGCAGGATGGACAATGTTTCTCAAACAAATTTCTAACATTGAATGTGGTTTTCATTTGGTAAAGTCTGTTCATTTTAAAATCGAATGTTAAAAGCAAATTACATTTTGAAGTACTTTTGAATGACATTCATCAAGTTGTACGGAGAATTGTTACAAATGTTTTGTATAAATTTTCGTGAATGTTCATTCAAAAATCTGGCCAGCTTAGGAACACTGTCAGCAAAGAGTTTGTTGAGGTGCAGACAACAGTATACAGTGGATGGATCTAGGCTCACAGAATTTTCGAAAACATCACAAAAGGTAATGTTTTTACATTTTGCAGCTAATTTACATGGCTATGGAAACAGTACATATTACATTGTTTGAATATCAAGGTTACTCTCCATTTAAAAAAAAACAAAAACTTTTCTTGATCTGCTTCATGAAGCAAACTTAACAGTCAATATTAATATTTGGCTAGACACTGAATGTATCCCCACTAAGGGACAGTAGAATGTATGTATATTTCTCTTTGAAAAGTGTACCGCAAAACTTCAGAAGGAGAAATCATTTATTTTCACTGGCAACGAAAGCGGGAGTGATGTTTCAAAACTTTGGAATGCTGGCAAACATTTTCAAGGACTGCATTATTACCCCTACAATGTTCATTTATTCATAGCATGCATACATAAAAGAATGGTTTTATGTATCCTGTCCTGATATAGTACTGGTCTAAGTATTATGCTACAGTTATATTAAGACAGGCGTTTGTCTTCTTCCAGTGTATCTGAATGGATATGTTCTAAGAGTAATGTGGAATGGTAAGACTGCAGGAATGCAAGGGTACACGGCTCCATGGACTACCAATGATCTGTTTAGCTGAGCTTGCAATGACCATCATTGTAAGGAGGACATCACGTCTGTCCACTAATGTATGGAGGTACTTACAGTGACCACCAATGCCTAGGAACATTTCAATACTGACCACCAATAGGAAAAATATGTAAAAACACAACACCTCCTGAACATGAGTGTGGTGTGGTATGGTAGTCTAGCTCTAAAGCGTGTAGCATATTGCATCTTGACATAGAATGTAAACACACCACACCTTGCTGCCCTCTCAGGACTGGGGCTGTCCTAATAGTACTGAAAAAAACAGAGGGTGCACCAGCCTAGTGCATTATCCCAATGATGTCTATTAAAAGGAAAGAGGTTTATGTGTCTACTCACAAACAAAAAGTTTCAAAGGCACATCAAATGTAGTAATGTAACAGACCACTCTACTTGCTCCTGGTCTCTTGGAGAACAACACCTGGATCCAACTGGCTAACGCTTTTTGAAGGGAGAACCCTCTTTTTCAATGCCAAGCCTGAGGAGAGTTGAGAAATGGGTCCTCCGTCAAAACGCGTCAGCCAGTTGGATCCAGGTGTTGTCCTCCAAGGGACGAGGAGCAAGTAGAGTGGTCTCTTACGTTGCCATATTTGATGTGCCTTTGGCACTTTTTATATGCGAGTGGATACATATACAGGTGAAACTCGAAAAATTATTTATTTCAGTAATGCAACTTAAAAGGTGAAACTAATATATGAGATAGACTCATTACATGCAAAGCAAGATAGTTCAAGCCGTGATTTGTCATAATTGTGATGATTACGGCTTAAAGCTCAAGGAAACCCCAAATCCACAATCTCAGAAAATTAGAATATTACATGCAATCAATAAAACATAGATTGTACATAGAACAATATCGGACCTCTGAAAAGTATAAGCATGCATATGTACTCAGTACTTGGTTTGGGCCCCTTTTGCAGCAATTACTGCCTCAATGAGGCGTGGCATGGAAGCTATCAGCCTGTGGCACTGCTGAGGTGTTATGGAAGACCAGGATGCTTCAATAGCGCCTTCAACTCTTCTGCATTGTTCGGTCTCATGTCTCTCATCTTTCTCTTGGCAATGCCCCATAGATTCTCTATGGGGTTCAGGTCAGGCGAGTTTGCTGGTCTATCAAGCACAGTAATCCCATGGTCATTGAACTAGGTTTTGGTGCTTTTGGCAGTGTGGGCAGGTGCCAAGTCCTGCTGGAAAATAAAGTCAGCATCCCCATAAAGCTTGTCTGCGGAAGGAAACATGAAGTGCTCCAAAATCTCCTGGTAGACGGCTGCGTTAACCCTGGACTTAATGAAGCACAGTGGACCAACACCAGCAGATGACATGGCTCCCCAAATCAACACAGACTGTGGAAACTTCACATTGGACTTCAAGCATCTTGCAGTGTGTGCCTCTCCATTCTTCCTCCATACTCTGGGTCCTTAGTTTCCAAATGAGATGCAAAAGTTGCTCTCATCAGAAAAGAGGACTTTGGACCACTGAGCAACAGGCCAAGTCTGTTTTTTTTTAGCCCAGGTAAGACGCTTCTGACTTTGTTTGTTGTTCAGGAGCGGCTTGACAAGAGGAATACGACATTTGAAGCCCATGTCCAGGATCCGTCTGTGTGTGGTGGCTCTTGATGCACTGACTCCAGCCTCAGTCCACTCCTTGTGAAAGTCCCCAACACTTTTGAATGTCCTTTTCCTGACAATCCTCATCAGGCTGCAGTCATCCCTGCTGCTTATGCACCTTTTTCTTCCACACTTTTCCCTTCCACATAACTTTTTATTAACCTCCCTGGCGGTATGATTATTTCCGATTTTTGGTGCTGAAAGCGGTACCATTATTTTGCATGGAAATATGTAATTTTTTTATTGTAGGCTGTAATATTTAGGAATAACTCACTGAAATCTGTCTGAACAAGAGTCTATTAAACATCCCGGGGATGATAAAATTTTAAACACAAAATCATAAATTATAATTTAATAAATAATCATAAAAAATAATAATATAATATTAATACATTTAATTCAATAATATAATCAAAGCAAAAACACTGAAATTTGAAATATAGCGCCAAGTTCGCACATCGCTGAGCAAAGTCGCAGAATTGTTTTCAGTGTCTGATGACGAATTTCCCCACAAATCATTATCACTCAATTCTGCAAGTGGTTCTGATTTACTATCGCTGTTCTCTAGCTGATCTAAACCGCTTTTGACCTAAAGGGACACTTTTTGGACGCTATGGACGTTTCTCAGTTTCCAGGCAGAAAGAACAGACAAAATGCAGGCAGGGAGCAGGACAAAGCACTAGGGACAAAATGTATGTGAAATTGGTTGAGGCAGCAATGTTTTACTATGTAAAATGTAAAAAAAAAAAAAAAATGACATTATTTCTAAATTTTAAAATTTCCCGCCGCCCGGGGGCGGCGCCCGTACGTCCCGACGTCACAGGGACAGGACACAGAAGCCGGATGCCGGCATCGGCCGAAGGAGATGGCCGGGGACGCTGCAGGGGACACATCGTGGGAGCGCAGGGTAAGGTAAGTGAAGAACAAATGCCGGAGCAGTGCCGCATGGTATTCCCGAGTGTAGCTCGGGGTTACCGCTCTTGGTACTGAAATGTTACCCCGAGCTACACTCGGGAATACCGCCAAGGAGGTTAATGTGCTTTGATACAGCACTTTGGGAACATCCAACTTCTTTTGCAATTACCTTTTGAGGCTTTCCCTCCTTATGGAGGGTGTCAATGATGGTTTTCTGCACAACTGTTAGGTCAGCAGTCTTTCCCATGATTGTGATTCCTACTGAACCAGACTGAGAGACCATTTAAAGGATCAGGAACCCTTTGCAGGTGTTATGGCTTAATTAGCTGATTAGAGTGGGACACTTTGAGCCGAGAATATTGCACCTTTTCACAATATTCTAATTTTCTAATATTCTAATTTTCTGAGATTGTGGATTTGGGGTTTTCATGAGCTGTAAGCCATAATCATCACAATTATGACAAATCACGGCTTGAACTATCTTGCTTTGCATGTAATGAGTCTATCTCATATATTTGTTTCACCTTTTAAGTTGCATTACTGAAATAAATGAACTTTTGCACGATATTCTAATTTTTCAAGTTTCACCTGTACCTCTTTCCTTTTAATAAATTTCATTGGGATAATACGCTAGGCTGGTGCGCCATCCCTTCTTTGATATTTTTTCACAAAAAATAGGGTCTTTCTTTGCGTCTTTTCCACTGATCCATGTAGGGTGGGGGACACTACAGTGACTGCACAGTGCATGCTCCTTATATACTCCTGATCACTACACTGTCCGTGTATCTTTTCTCACCAATATTGTTATTGGTATTGTTGTTGTTTTTATTGATCATTGCTAAAAAAATTTTTTGTCTTAAAGGAATCCGTACTGTTTTTTTTTAATGGTATGCAACTGGTTGGCTGTAAAGACTTTAGTAACTTGCCTGCACATTAACGCATGGATTTACAGGCGGCTAGTTGCAGATGACACAGCTGACTGGCAAGCACTCAGTACTGTGCCTAGCTAGCAATTAAAAAGATATGTACACAAAGCTGAAGCACAGTTCAGGTCTACCACCTAATCTTGTCTGTGGCCTATACTTTTCATTACTAATGTGGTGTGGAGTATGAAGGAGGCCTTTGGGGAAAAGCTTGTCATCTCCTTTCTACATTAAAAAATAATAAACAATAGTGCAAGAAAAGAGCTCACAGTATCATGCTTCCTGATATCCGCTGATTGATCCCTTCTTATTGATTCCACATGTACTGTATATACCCCAGAATTCCCTCTGGGGGTGGACTGTTCTTTCTTTTTTTTTAGCAAATTAGTTTTATTGAAAGATTACAATCGAAAAAGATGTATCAAAAGTGTTTAGAGTGTGGCACATAGTTTATAGCTTAATTGGAAGAAATGATATATAAAATATTTTGAGAAACAAATGAAATGATTGAATATAATTAATCATCATATTGATATAAAGACAACAATAACATTTCTAAGAGTACTGTAGTTAGGAAGAACAGTTATGGTAGGGTAATATGTTTTAACTGTGAAAGAAGATGAGAAAAATCCTGTATGATGCAAACTGTAAGCCCCGTATCTTAAAAAAATATAACTGTGATATCAGTGACAAGGCTAGTTTCTGATTGCCAAATACAGAATGAAATTTATTTTATTTAAAACAGCAAGGAAAGGAAATTAGGTTTGTAGCTAATATTTGGCAGTTACTAT